CTAAAAAGAATAAAATTTTAACACAATGTGTGTTAAAAATATTAATATTTTCTGTCTTTTACTTTAAGGATAGAAAATACCCATACTGTGAGGGTAAAATTTGGACATTATAAGAAATAAAAGGGGTTTCTCACCTCTTTTTCTGTAGATTGACCAGAGAAGAAGAATATGCCGTCTGTTTCCCCTGATGGTAAAATATATATGGTCTCCTCTGTCCCACCCATGAAATACAGAACTGAGTTTGAATGCCCAGTTATCTTTTTTTTAAGTGAATCTGGCTCCGTGCCACCAATAACATCAGCTCTCTGCTGCACATGCTATTTTTTCTGAGTCCTGTGAATCAACTTGTAAGACATTTTTGGGGGTTTCCAGAAAGGGAATTTATTGTCAGTTTTACTTCCCTAAATCAACCAGAACACTATAGTTCACAAACACAGCTCTACCTTTCACACAAAAAATTCACAGAGCTTGACCTAATGCTGGCTTTCAGGAGCATCATTGAGCACAAAGTGTGAAGGGGTCGGCTACTTTTATCAGACATTTTTGACCAAATAAATCTGTATGGAGTCACAAAATCATATAGTGAGCTTTAAACTGAAGGTAACACGGCCCACAGTGTGAAATATAAGTAAACGAAAAAACAAGAGCTTGTTAACATCACTGTGAGATTTGTATCTCACAAACCAGCATCTGTATAGCTGTACACAATCACAGTTTTTTAGTATATTTATGATCATTTTAAGTGAATCTGGCTCCATGCTGTCATGAATATCAGCTCTCTGTTGCACATGCTGTTCATTCTGAGTCCTCTGAATCAGCTATAAAATGAAGCAAAACCTGGGCAGGTTTTGCTTCCTTAAAAAAAACAGAACACTAAAGTTCACAAACACCCCTAACCTTTCACACACAAAAAAACTAAAATAATTAATATCTTTTACTGTATTTATGATCATTATGATGATTATAAACACTCTAACTTTGCATGTTCAATACAGTGATACCAGGTTTTGTTGCATTTATGAAATCATAAGACTAAAACTGACAATTGTAGAGCAGATTGTCTTTTTTTTTTGCACTAATTCACATCGAAGGGATATGAAAGTTTGTGTTTGGAGGCAGCCGTATCTGCTCATACACAGATTAATTTATAGTGTTGGTAGTCTTGATTAATGACGCTAACATGCTTGAGTAACTTTTACTTTTGCAATGTAAGTTTAATCTGCAGAGAAAAGTTCGGTTTTTAAACTTAAAAAGTCACAAAAACCTTTAAGCTTTCCTTCAGATTTGGTTGCTTTTTTAAATATGCAGTTCTTATGTCCCTGCGACCATTAACGATGAAGCAGTACATTGAAGCAGTTTCTTATTCAATGTCTACATATATAAAACAAAAAAAATTTTTTTTTCAAAAGTCAAAAAGTCAAACAAAAGTGTTGCTCATAGATAATCCATTTATTCTGGTAGGAAACTGTCAGCTGACTCAGCAGCCTGACAAATGCCTTCACCTCAGAGTGAACTCTGATTGTGCACTTTTTAAAACTCACTCTTTACAGGAAAAATCCTGTTGTGTCAGGGCTAATGTCTAATGTACAAAACATTGATAGTCACACTGATATGCACATTTCCCTTTCCCCACTTTTTGGAGTTATAGTTGTGATAAACAAGAGGTAATTAAACATCTGGCATGACAGATGTGGTGAATTTGCAAACCTTTTCCCACCAAATAGCCTTGGAAAAGGTTGGGATCAAAAACTAAAAATTTAATAACAGGTTTTAATATTTTTGCGTCCCTGGGACATGCCCATGTTGAAGTACTGTTTGCTTTAAAATTTCAAAGACACGTTTTTATAAGGTGTTGTAGATGAATAAATGCTGAAACTGATCCATTTTAGCTTGTTGCTAGGTGTTTGCCAGGCAGTGTAATGGGGTCATTTTGTATCATATTTAACCCTTTCACACATAGTGGTCACTGCAGTGGGCAGCTATTCAAAGGCTGTTTTCTTGTTTTGTGTCAGTGTTGATGGTATACTTGCACATAAACCACTATATTGGACACTGACGTGTCACTTAATACCCTGCCACCCACTGGTCATTTACTATAGAGGTATGATGTGTTTCATTGTAATCTAACCCTTACCCATGATTTTTTTCTGAAGTATTTTTATTCATCTTTTCATGCCTAAAGATGAATAAAATACCCAAGAAAAAAAGATCCTGATTGAGGTTTTCATAATTCATGCATGAAAGTGTTAATTCAACATTCTGTGGCTGTAACTTGTTGATAGAACTATGAGATGATGCTTTTTTGAAGTTTTATAAGTGCATGACTGCAAAACAGCAGTACAAAATTTCAGCCATTACTATGCTGTTGCTATGCAAAATGATGACACCATAATATCTGATATAGATAGGAACTTCCATTTGCTGAGCTTGGTGTGCCTATTTTAAATTACTG